CCAAGCCACTAATCTGAAGGTAGGGTTCAAAGTTGGAGCTTTCATAGAACTGAAGTTCACGATCCCTATCACCAGTTAAAATATGATCAGATGTTAACATCACAGACTTTAAAGACATACTTTCCCCATAAATAAGACAAACAGTGGTAAATATTAGCTGTAGACAAGGATTAATTTCAAAATGGATTGGAAATAAAACTAATTTTGTAATGTCGTTAGATATTTGTGACAGCATAATTGGAACATAGTGTATGGTTCTATTTATGTTCAGATGGATGATATCCTGACATTTGTGTCATATAATCATGCAAATGATGCAATTTATGTATTTGCATCAGAGGCCATGATATTAATACATTATTAATCATTCATGTCATGATGTTAGGAAGCACATATTGTAATTTTGTTGGTGCTGTGTCTCTTTCCACATGCTCCTCATAGCAATTCTGCTATGAGAAAAATGTAAGAGGTTTTAGCGTAAGAGATGACATGAGTTTTGTAAAATTATGGATGCTGTGGATATTTAATTCCACCCTCTTCCAAAGTTCCAGAATTCAGCTCTAAAAGGGGATTAAATAGACATGAATCTAAGACATTGTAGGGTTTGTTTCATTTTGATTTAGTACTGTGTGTATCCATTTATTCTGAACTGCACACTATCTGATATTTCCTTAAATGGAAATAGAAGACTTCTATAATTATAAAAGTTAATGTTTCATTTAGTTAAACTATCAATTATAACTTAGTGTCCCCACACCACCACTCCCGTTCTCTGCATTCAAGAGAAGTTAGAAAATTATCCATGATTTGTTTGGTTTTTTGCCAGCATCAGAAATACTGGGAAAAAAGAGCAAAAATCTCTGCAGCAACAAGAATCCCTTAGCTCCACCCCATCTGTAAAGAAAAGAAGGGAAAGATACCTTGTCCCTTTCTAAGACAGGGCTTTTCAACCAGTGGTACGGGTACCACCTGTGGTACATTGGCACCTGGCAGGTGGTACGCGACCATCCTAGAAAAGTGGTAGCGGGGGAGGGAAATGAGCTGAACCAGTGGCAGCACCGCACAAGCCTGAGCGAGAGATGGCTGGAGCTGCAGGGCTGTCAGGGCTCAGCGGAAGCGCCAGGATCAGTGCCGCTTTCCAGCTGATCGGTGCTTCTTCAGGACTGTCAGGGCTCAGCGGGAACGCCAGGATCAGCGCCAGGCTCCAGCTGGAGCTCGGCGCTGATCCTGGTGCTTCTGCTGAGCCCTGAAGAAGCACCAATCAGCTGGAAAGCAGCACTGATCCTGGTGCTTCTGCTGAGCCCAGAAGAAGCGCTGATCAGCTGGAATGTTGCAGCATCTCCAGGGTCTTGCGATTTACATTCAGATTCTTGGCAACTGATTCATATTTATGATGGTCACAGTGTCCCAGAGTCATGTGAAGTGACCAAAACCTGCTGCAACCACCCAGCAGGCAGAGGGAATAAAAACCAAACACCTCCCACCCCACCCCCACTGCCAATCCTCAACAGAAATGCTCACAACAATGAAAACCTTGGACAGGAGGAAGAGCGCGACCGGGTGGGCAGGCAGGTGTCTTGCTCGGCTGTGCCTTGGGGGGCACTTTTTCAGTGCCATTGTAACTTTGAACAGTCACTAAGCGAACTGTTGTAAGTCGAGGACTACCTGTACTTTATCACTTTTTTCCTTTTTTTTTTTTTGGTCATCAAGTTTTTGACACCTTGCTAGGCGACTGGTGGTATTCGGATGTTGCCATATCCTAAAAGTGGTACAATGGGTGAAAAGGTTGAAAAGCCCTGTTCTAAGAGAATGAGAAACTGACAAATCTCTTGTCAATTTCAGCTCTTCTCCTTTGTCTGGGTTACTGAGGGGGAACTGCAAAGCCAAGGTGGCAGCCTTTCCTTTACAGCAGCAGGTGTGGCAAGAGTTGCATCTATTTATGAAATTGGCCACAGGTCATATCCACATTGCTTTTTTGCCTTGTTCCATAGAGGCAAGAAATCATGCTATTCAAATGTTGTTGCCTTTACAAACAGGTTGTACTGCATACCCAGAGTGGGTCTATGCTGTGTTGCTGGCTATATAGCTTTTAATGTTCAACATTCAAAGAGTTGTGATTGTTGGTTTCCTTAGCTGAAATTCCAGCCCCACCCAGCAACATCCACCTCAAGAGAATCTCCTCCAGCTGGCATGAATAATATTCTGGTTACTCATGCACTGCTATTTTATTTTTTTAAAATTTTCCTCTCCTGTTGCAGCATCCACTGACTGGCATTAAAAACATGATGGTACAAGGTTTGCTCACAACCTGTATCCATCTTGAAATGTTTTACCATATCCTGTAGCTTTTGTTGTGTTCCAGTAAATGTGTCTCCCAATGCTCTGCAGTAAAAGGAAATGATCAATCACGTTAGTGAGTTTATATATAAAATACCTACCCAGTTCCCAGAATTAGTTTATTGTATGGTGTCATGACAGTAAAATCCATCAACCACTTAGATTTTCTGTGAATTTTCTCCTACAAAGGGGAAAAACAGTTAAACAGTTTCTGAATCATTAATTAGGCTCCTTTTAAAATCAAAATAAATTTTAAAAAGTCACTTGGATACAGGAAAAAGCAGAGAGGACTTGGTTGTAACCAGAGAGAATAATAAGAGGAATAGTTTTAAGAAGAAATTCTTGCCAGTACACTAATATAAGGAAAGAGATTTCTTTGGTATTTGGATTGTCTAAAGAATGCAGTTGGAGTGAAGTGGGAAACCCACAGTTCTCCAAATATTGCTGAACTACTATTCCCAGCTGTCCAGTTAGCCTATTCAGTGGTGGCGAACCTATGGCACGGGTGCCAGAGGCGGCACCCAGAGCCCTCTCTGTGGGCACATGCGCCGTTGCCCCAGTCCTAGGCCTTTAGCTGGGTTTTATAAAACCTTTTTGCTTTAGGCCTCCGCTGCCGTGTGCAAAAAAAAAAAGGTTCAATCAGTCAATTTCAACTTCTCGCGGGGGAAAAAAAGGTCTTGCAAAGTTGGAATTGATTGATTGAACTTTTTAGTCTCACCCAGTCTGCCATTACCACTGCAGCCACGCCCACCAAATTGGCCACGCCCACCCAATTGGCAACACCCAGCCAATGGACCACACCCACCCGACACTCGACGATGCATAAGTGGGTTTTGGGTTGCAGTTTGGGCACTCGGTCTCTAAAAGGTTCGCCATCACTGGCATAGGCAATATTGATGGACCTTGGGAATAGTTGTTCAGCAACATCTGTACGGTACATTTCTCTCCCTCATGTTAAGACTTAGGTCTGATCCATACTTCCTGCTTCTCCTGGTGCAGAGATGGCTCGTTAATCAAAAAGTCATTATTTTAAAAAAAATGGTCATTGATCAACAAATAGAACAAGAGAACCACAATTATTTAAGATAAAAAAAGAAAAAAGCATTGTTCTAAAATATCTAAAAAGCATTAGAAGAAATGTTAAGGTGTATTGTGGAAAATACAAAACAGTATTTACTGTAGCTATGGTCAAAGAAGTAAAATCAAATTGATTAGATAATAACAACTTAAGATGAAACAAAATGGAATGACCAGACGTTTAGTAAGGAATGGGGATAATTCCTGGAGAGTATCTGCTAAGAGGGGATATTACAAATTAAGATTCCCCTCTTCGAGAGAGATGGACAGTTAAGAGGTTTGATTGATAACTAAATAAATATAAACAATTAAATACATACATAAATAAATAATACAATTATTTCTTCTCCATACGGACACAGTTACTTTTCAAAGGGATCTTTTGGTATCTCCCTTCCGTAACAGCTGTTGGGAGGGCATTGAATCTGGCCAAGGATAAAGCCCTGGCAAATTCTAGAATTGTTATGCAACTAAGATATCTGGCTGGTTGCAGAAGGTATGTGGAATTGCTTAAGAAGATTTTTCTAAGTAGAGCTGATAAAATCTGCTTGGAGCTTTAAATCAATGGACTGTGGTTTAAGATTAGGTACTGCCCTTTCACAGCAACATCTGTGATAGCTGGCCATGAAAAGCCATAAAGTTGCATTGGCTCATTAACTCTTTCCTAAGGACTGGAACATACAACATCGCCCTCAATTCAACCCCAATCTGTGGTGAAGTCAACTTCTGGCTTTTCTTGCTCTGCATCAAAAATAGTATTTTCTGACTTGTGCTGGCATCAGCAATCCAAGTAGTTGAACTGCAATAGGTCCTTCTGTTACAGGCAATGCCTCCACTTCTATTGGCTAACATGTGCTGTGGTGGGAATGCATCATGCTCTCCAGCACTGGTAACTGTCCAGCATTTCATCCTGGGCTATTGGGCTGGCTGCCAGTGGATGCTGAAGCCACGTGCACCAGCAAAAAGATGGATTTTTAAAAAATACAGATTAATCAATAAACTTTTGAAAGGCTGGAGTATTTTCTTTAACACACACATAATATAATCTTGATGAAAATAGAAAGAGTTCTTCCATTTTTTCTTAGAAGCCAAAGAAACAGAAAAAGTGCCAACATTGGTGTTTTTAACTATTTTTTCTTGCAGTCCACAAAAATTATCCAAGAAGGCAATTAGAGGGTGAAGTAAGGAAGAAGAGGATCCATTGTTGTTGGTGGTGGTAATTGGTATTCTGTTGGGATATCTGGCTATTACTGAGGCTAAAGTGAAGAAAGAGTCTAGAATTCATAAAGGTATTTCATAAGCCAACTTCATTTCTAGCCACAGGTATGAAGAAATTTGCTTGAGAGTCAAGAGCTGAAAGGCTGTGGTCCAAAAAGGCATGTAAAAACCATTCTAAAGAGATAATGCAGTGCAATTTCCTTCAGCACCAGCAAACATCTGGAAAGTCATATTGGAAAAGGCTGTATGACATGCCAGGATAGGTGGACTTGAACAACTGGGAATTCCACTTTAGCAGGAAGATCTTTTAAAATGTAACCTCCTTTGGATAGAATGCAATACAAATGGAAACAAATAGAACTATATTCCTAAATACTGCAACATAAAAACATGTGACATACAAACACCATTTTGCTTCGTTTGAGTTTGAACTCTGGTGACCAGAAGGAAATTTGCCCATCTTCTTGTGCTGTTATTAATGTGCTATCCACCAGGGAGCAAATGCGTAGTACAGGCTCTCCGTGTGGGATCTCTTGCATTGTGGCAGGAAGTGAAAAGGCGACCTCTTTCAGGCGTGTAGATGAGCTGTCCAATTCAGCATATTCTATCTGCAAGTATGTGCAGAAATCATGCTGCATCGAGAAAAAGAGACAGTTATTATCCTGGTATCTGTGCATGCAAGTGGCATGCATGGTTATTCAGATCTGAATCCTTCAGTATCTAATAGGTTTATTCCTAAGTGAACATTGAGCCAAATTTATTTGTTCCATCCTACAAACATGCCAAGTAAAATATATGTAACATTTGACAAGTAATGTTACTAACTTACGGAGCATGGCACTATACATATTTACAGAAGAAACAAAATCTTTGTCTTTGTACTAATTTCAATACCTCCACATATACTGTAACGCCATTTATTTCCAACACCTTCAATCAATTGTTGAAGCTACTTGTGGTCCAAATCGGAAACATCTGTCATTTTGTGTTTATTTATTTAACACTTTTCTAATGCTGCCACAGTCAAAAACTTCTGCTAATTCACAATTTTTTAAAAAATGATTTCTTGTTTTGTTGTGGCCAAATGCTTGACTACATCTCATCTACTTTTCCGTTAACCAAAATATGTATGTACCCACTGAATGTTGCCAGTTGCCAAATAGTCTATTTTCATGAATAGTTTTTCCACTTCTTCATCAGTCTATAAAGAGAAAAAAATGTGCAAAAGATCTTGATATTAACAAAGCATTGAAATTTCATGAGACACATTTTGTTGGAGCTCACTATTCCCTCCCCCCCCAATTTGATGCAGCACCTTAAAACAGGGCAGGAAAGAAAGCATGAAATTTCCCACACCCCTTTTACTAATAACTTTTGCTACATGTTAAAATATCCCAAGAAATTTCAAACTGCTTGCTTACTGTATTATGTGACCCCGCACATGTCTTTAATATGTGCTTGAAGCTTTCTACATCCACAGATTTATGTCCACTTGTTTCCAATCCCTGGAGGCAAATAAAGCAGCAAAACATTATTAAGTATTAATATAGAGCAGTAGACATGGCAAAATATTAGCTTAGGTTTTAAAATCATAGTTTCTTTCTTCTGTCACTTCTTTTTTTCTTTCTGAATAATTTAAACATGAGAACAATGTTAAATGTAAAACTAAAGTACCATAATCTCAATATTTTCTTCATTCAGAAATCAAATACTATGAAGAAATGTGTAGCTGAAGAAAAAGTTGGGGGAATGTCAGCAGTAACACCATGGCTTCCCATGGAGAAGGCAGCGCATTTCAAACAAGGGATCAAGGCAAGAGTCTATGTAGTCCTGAACTAGATGGAGGAGGAAGGAAAAGATTCAGGGTAGAATTAGAATCTCCCAGGGTATATCTACGGTATTAGGTTAGAAGTTTTTAGCTTTAGTCTGGCAAGATTCTGTCTATTAGACATAAGCAAATAAAGAACTGGATTCACTATATTGTCTTTGGGCTGAGGCCTGGCAGATACAGCAGTCCCCAGGAATTCAAGAGGGATTCTGACCCACTTTCATTATAATGAGATGACTCTGTTTCTCTACCAAAGTTACATATTTTTGCTTCTATCTCTATTGATACTTTTACCTGCCACTCAATAAATCATGCCACCTGATGAGAACAGCTCTTGTGATCTTTATTGTTTCTGGTCCTGGGTAAAAAGACACCCACTTATCTGGACCTTCTTTCCCCCTGGCTCTAGAAGCCTTCAGTAAGTAGGTGGAACACTTTCCCCAGACCTGTGGCAGATAATGAGCTGCCCCTTCTACAGCCAAGGCCAAAGCAGAGAGGAAGATTTCAGTAATGGAGTAATGGTGATATTATATTTTGCTCTGGTTTTTTTAATATTACATGTTTTAATAACAGAATGACAGTTGGAAGGGACCTTGAAGGTCTGCTAGTCCAATCTTCCTCCTGCTCGAGGAGGAGACCCTATACCATTTCAGACAAATGGTTGTCCAATCTCTTCTTGAAAACCTCCAGTGTTGGAGCACTCCTAGCTTCTGGAGGCAAGTCATTCCACTGATTAATTGTTTTCACTGTCAGGAAATTTCTCCTTAGTTCTAGGTTGGTTCTCTCCTTGATTAGTTTCCATCCATTGTTTCTTCTCCTGCCTTCAAGTGCTTTGGAAAATAGATTGACTGTCTCTTCTTTGTGGCAGCCCCTGAGATATTGGAACACTGCTATCATATCACCTCTAGTCCCTGTTTTCATTAAACTAGACATATCCAATTCCTGCAAGTGTTCTTTGTATGTTTTAGCCTCCAGTCCCCTAATCATCTTTGTTGCTCTTCTCTGCATTATTTCTAGAGTCTCAACATTAGTTGACATATTAACCCCTGAATATTTTTCATGAAGAGGAACTCATTCAGTCATGTTATACTGAGTCACTGTTGCAAGGTGGCCAGCAATAAATGTCAGCTGAGGGCAGTGGAAAATGTTGGGAGATGACTGGAATGAGTAGAGGAAAATGTATCCTAAATTGGTTTGAACATTTTGAGCCTATTTTTTGGTAAAAGGGGAAAAGCCATTTTTCTCCTCTTTCATTTTATTTTATAATAATAATAATAATAGTCAAGTTGGAAGGGACCTTGAAGGTCATCTAGTCCAATCCCCTGCTCAGGCAGGAAACCCTATACCATTTCGGACAAATGGCTGTCCAGTCTCTTGTTAAAAACTTCCAGTGTTGGAGCATTCACTGTTTCTGGAGGCAGGTTGTTCCACTGGTTAATTGTTCTAACTGTCAGGAAGTTTCTCCTTAGTTCTAGGTTGCTTCTCTCCTTGATCAGTTTCCACCCATTGCTTCTTGTCCTGCCTTCAGGCGCTTTGGAAAATAGCTTGACTCCCTCTTCTTTATGGCAGCCCCTGAGATATTGGAACACTGCTATCATGTCCCCCTCTTCCTTCTCTTCATTAAACTAGACATACCCAATTCCAGCAGCCGTTCCTTATATGCTTTAGCCTCCAGTCCCCTAATCACCTTTGTTGCTCTTCTCTGTACTTTTTCTAGAGTCTCAACATCTTTTTTACATCGCGGTGACCAAAACTGGATGCAGTATTCCAAGTGTGGCCTTACCAAGGCATTGTAAAGTGCTATTAACACTTCACGTGATCTTGATTCTATCCCTCTGTTAATGCAGCCTAGCACTGTGTTGACCTTTTTGGCAGCTGCAGCACACTGCTGGCTCATATTTAGGTGATTGTCCATTAGGACTCCGATTGTCCACTAGGACACATTTTCTCTGTGTTACTGAGTTGGGCTTTCCTGAGTAGCTCAAGTTCGGCTATAGATCAAACAGTTATCTCAGTAGCACTCAGTAATATATGAGCAAGACTGAAAGCAACATTTGTCAGACTAGTCATGTCTTAAACTCCACAATTTGTGCAGTTCAGTTTTGAGTAATATTTTCTATTTATTTATTAAATTTATATGCCGTCCATCTTGCTACGCAAAATGAATATTCAGAGCAACAAAGATGATTATGAGACTAGAGCTCTGATGGTGTTTTAGTCCTTAATGCCAGATGATGTGGACAATCTGTTCAGTAAAGTTTGCTCAGCCACATATTTCCTTGACCCTTGGTTTTCATGTCTCCACTTTACAGTAGTGGGACAGATGAGTCCAGAAGATCGTAGTTTTTAATAAAGTATTTGCCATCAATATGGAGACTAGGTCAGGCATGGAGATATATTAAGTTGGGTCAATATTTATCCTTGTCTTAATTCCCAACCAATACCCAAAACCAAAAAAAAGTTGAGTAAGAACAATGACGACAATTTCTTGATTACTCAGTGATTACAAATCACTTCAATCCCAGTTAACCTAGGTAACATATGCTCTATCTGTAGCAAAGATTAAAACAATAAAATAGCAATATTTAATCATCATTTATCCTTTTATGCCAAGAAAACACTTGCCAGTATAAGCAATCAGATGCTGCAAGAATTATATTACTTTGTTGCTGACATACAGTACATCTCTTGACCATGACCCTTTCAACAATGAATACTTTCTTTCACGCTCACCTTACATTAAAATCAAATCAATTCCAAAGCATAATATCTTTTCAATTAATAGGTGCCTTTAATCTATATTTTCCAATGGGATAACATCTACAAACTTTCTCAACTTAGATACTCCCAGATATGTTGGAACTGCAACATCAAAAATTTCCACCCAAAGATTATTACATGCTTTGACACCAATTATTTAATAGGATGTACCTGAAAGGCTGTGTATAGTTTCTGCAGCTGATCAAGAGTAATCTGCTGTTCGATCTTGCCAAGACAAAGAGCAAGATGGATTAATGCAAGCATTGTATGGTACACAACTAAATTTCAAAGAGAAGTTTCTAGTTCGATGCCTTGAGTCAATATCTAATATCTGCCACAAATTGTCTGGTCCCCTCTTAAAGCATCAGAAGGAATGTACACTCTTAGAAGACAAGTAACAAAATAGAAGTAATATATGAAAACAGTATATAAATGTAAAATCTTAATAAATAAGCCCTCAAATGTTCAACTCTGCTCCTCTGAGCTAAGGCTTCAGATGTTTCAGACAAACATAAAGCCCCATTAATGTAGAATGTACCCAAAAGGAAGGTAGAATATGAGAAAATTATATAGCAGAGAGTTAATTAAGTTTTCCTTTGTTATAACTGTTTTATTTACATGCCTTCAGTTGATATATATAGATCAGCCCCTACATAGGCAACAAAACATATTTCATACCTTTGAATGGTAGGTCCAGTCTCTCCCCCCCCCCACCCCCAAACTGATAATATTTTTAAGTAGAAAAATAGATATGAATCCCCATATCTTTGCTTTACATTTCAGTGGTTGGTTTTGAACAGACTGCAATGCCAGTTCTGTGGCATCTCCATGGAGACTGAAATGTGTGCTACAGTCCTAAATAACCTGATAAAAATTTATAGCATGACGAAAAATATGTGCCTCAGTTTTCACCTGACTTATAAACAACTTCTAAGCAGATGCTTTCTGCTTAGAAGGACATTTGAATAATCTTTTACACAACTCTTCATAGCCTTTAACTCTGGAAAATCCTTACTAAAGCCAACAAGAGAATGTGTTATACTTTGCCTTTCCAGTGACTTCGGGAGGAATCGGCACGGTGGTGAATACTTTCGCTCTCTGAGATGTTTTCCATGAGTCCAATGGAGTGACTCCTTTGCTGCCGTTTCAGCAATTCCCTCACCAGCCATTCTGGAGGTCTGGGAATATTCTTTTGGCCTTCTGAGAAGCTGCCAATAGAAACTGGAGAGGCAGTTTGCAATCTGGGGCCTCCTAATGAAGTCTGTGCCCTTCCAAACAGAGAGTCTTTTGTTGATGTCAGCTCTGTTAGCTCATTCAGAATGCTGTCCAAGCAGAAAAACAGAAGGTGACCATGTGGGAAATGGTATTATTGTTCGTTCATTATTAACCAGTTTGGGGAATAATAGTAACAAAAGAAGTAAGGTTCCAGACTAGGGTTAGAGTTCATTCTCTTTGTCACAATGAGACAGGGGTTTTTTATCCACAAAATACAGTTATTCTACTAACAAATAAAGATGCCAGAGGTATTAAAAGGTGAAGTGACTTTCTAAAATTTGGACTAAAGCTGCAGATAACAAAGCAAGAAAGAAGGACAAGGAAGAAGAAGGAAGAAAGGTGCTTCATTATGGACACTTTTAAGAGTTTCTGTCTATCTATTTATACTGTATACAGTTTTGGAAATCACTTGCTTTGTAAGTGATTACAAGAATATTCATAAAAATCCAATTAAATACATAACCTAAAAACCAACACAGCATCCCAAAACCATACAATTATGCATTAACAACTCTATGAAAGAGCTCCAGTTTGGCTGACTATCTGAGTTTCAACAGGGGGAATGAGGTGAATATTCTGAGGATACAATATTCCATGGATGGCAAATACTACCACATGTTCTTTTATACATGTCCTGATCTTGCAGAACAGAGCAAAGCATGATGATTAGGTGTGTGTGTACTCTTAACACCCTAACTTGGGATTGACTCAATTCTATCTGAAGAATATAGCTGCAAAGCCATGAGTATTTCCTTTTTGCTGAAATGGCTCACCCAATTTCTTCAGCTGTGTCCCCCAACCCATCCCAACTGAAGTGCATTTGCCCACCAACTCTCCAACCAGTTGAACCTATTGACAGGGATTGGATATAATAACCTAAACTCTCCTTTTCAACTCTATCATTCTTTCATTCTAAGTCAAAGTAACAAAGTAGTTATATATTTCTTAATTTTTATGGTGCTTCAAAGCTCTTGCTCTCTTTGGTTGAAGGATTAACATGAAATATCCTCCAGAAATGTGTGCATTTAGATCAGAGACAAAGGATTTATCCATTCTGTAATGGCTTTTGCCTGATGCTGAAGTCTTCTGCTCATATATTAAAAGATCTCCAGCTTGCAAGGGCACAATGCAGGCTATATGCAGGGTAGCATGGTAAACAGAAATGTTTTTATGTCAAGGGTCATACTTGATCTTTAAGTGGCATTCTGACAGTTATGCTTCCAGATATGGACACAACCAGGAATGGAATGATGGTGATATAAGTAAAATAAAATTGAATTAATCATATAGAGTTAGTTAGGCTGTAATTTATTAATTAAGCTATATTTTAATAAGTTCATAATAATAATAGTAATTATTATGCAAACAAAATGGTGAGGAGACATAATGACATGATCCACTTTTCTCCTGGTTTATATAAATTTCACATTATTTTTTATCATCCAATATTATTTGACTTGCTTGCTTCTGCACTCTGTATTACTTTTTCTTTCTAAAAAAAATTATATTTACAGTACTGACCTTGATGCATGTGCACCTTCTGTTCTAAACTTATGCTATTTATCCCAATCTTATCTCTCAATTGAGTATAAGAGTAACTTTTCAAAAGGGAAATTGAGTTGTTGAATTCCAGGACGAGACATTCCTGAGCAGGCATCTTCAGGAGCTAAAACAGACCAACCTCCTATATTTATATAAAAGTACTTAAGCCAAGAGAAGTCAGAATAGGATGGGGACTTGGTGTAGACATGACTGAGAAGGGTCTATATTCCAGCTGGCCCAAGAAAGGGTTCACTTACAATCTTTTTCAAAGTTTTATCTGCAGAAAGGATGTTTAAGTATACATTCTCCTGTAATTTATATTACTTTAATAAACTACTGCCCTTTTTGCTCTATGAATATGTTTATTATCTTGAATCTTATATAAAACTACTGGTATCCAACTGCCCACTGGATGTCAGAACTCCTACTTCTTGGGAAATTAATATTTTTTTCTCTTCTATTACAATTGACAATTACAATTTGCCAGTAATTTGGACCCTTAGGATTGCTCCAAAGGCTTTGTGGAGCTACAGATTGCATCCCAAATGATGTGGGAAGCCTATATCTTTAGTACATCCACCTCAACTAGAAAACAGTAGAGCACAATGGATAGAGTATATGTTTCCTGGCTTCCCAGATCATATGCGTTTCTTAATGGATAAACATATGACAACAAATAAAATGATGTATGGAGGAATGGGCTGAATTCTCTTTAGTTTTGACTATGGTTTCCTTAGATGATCCTTTTTAAATGCACAAGCCAGTTACCTGGCTGAAAGCCAACCCCAAAATAAACATACACTATAGTTTTGTGGTGAGTGATAGTTTTAAACACTGTTCTCATGTTTTGTTTACTCTTCAATGTTGCTTGGTTACACTTAAGCTAATTGAAATGACATGATCTTTGCTAAAATATCTCCGTGGTATTTCCCTACTAGATATTATTCAGATATACTGGAAAATACAATAAACTAAACCAGGGGTCTTCAAACTTGGCCCTTTTATAACTTGATGACTTCAGTTCCCAGAATTCCTCAGCCAGCATGCCTGGCTGAGGAATTCTGGGAGTTGATGTCCACAAATCATAAAAGGGCCAAGTTTGAAGACCCCTGAACTACACTATATAGAAATGATTTAAAAAGGCAAAATCTCCTTTGAGTTTAATGTCATGGATGGATCTGTATATTTTTCATATTATTACTATTACTTTTTTGAAAAAAAGGCCGATATGTTAAAAGTTCTCACTCACTCTGATTAACTAAAGCACATCTGGTCACAGCACTAGTAAGAATATAAAACCTAAGCTGTGATTTACATATATGTGACATAATCATTCTATATTGTTTTATTTATTCTTGCAGACGGGTAACTGGGATGGGATGGGAAGGTAATTGTCCCATTTTATCCATATCAAAGCAACCTTGTGAGGCCTGACTGGCTCAAAGTCATCCAATGAACTCCACTGGATATTTGGACTTGACATGGTTGAGCATGATATAGAGTTGAGTATGATATAAGCTACATATATTGTCTTCTATTGGTTGTTGAGCATCTCTGGCTGAGATAGCTTATTGAACAGGGTATTCTGTAAAAAGAGGAATGTATAATTTATGTATATACAGAAGAACAGAGGAAACTTAATGTAACCTTGGGACAAAGCCCAACTCTTAGGATATATACATCAAAACTGGTGATTTAGCAAAATTCTACAAAATATTATATTAGTAACATAACATTTCATATCAAGGTGGTTTTTGAAGGAGAAATGCTTACCCTTTTTGAAAGGCAGAGGATAATTCAAATATTAGGGGATGTTTATTTAGCCCTTCTGTTAATTAAAAGAGTTTTAGAAAATTACTGAACTTTTCCATCAATGAAATGGTGAAGGTTCAGAGTTTTTAAAGGTAGCCATTAAATATGCCTGTTTTCTGTATAGTTTTGTGAGACCCTGAGACCTTTCGAGCAAAGAATGAATGACTAAATAAAATTAGAGCATACAGCATGTTGCACCTATTGCAAACTGTCAATGGATAAGATTGTGTGACTGAATAACTGGCTCTGTCCATACTTCAGTGTTTTTTTTCTTGTCCTAGAAAATTGTGATAGATCAATGAATCAACCACTTTCAGCTTATTCATGCCACTCCTGACTGAAATAAAATATACAAAGGAACAAGATTTTCCTTTCTGCAAAAAGTGCTTTTGCTCAGAAGTGTACTCTTAGCAAGAATCCTTCCAAAGTTATATTAAATGACATTAAAAATATTCCCTCTGCTCTGTGAATTTAATCAAAAACATGTCAGAAATTTAACAAGCTTTTTTTTTTTTCAGGAACACAGTATTCTTAAGTTTCTCCTGTGAGAATAAGTCTTAGGTTATGCCATCAGAAAGTCCCCAGGAGACTGAAGGTGATTATAATGCACTGCATCTTCCCAAGAAAAGAGCTAACAGACCATCCTGCCTAAGAAATGTTCACACTTTTCACTGACGCTAAATCCACAGGTCAGCTATACATACTGAATTCCTGACAAGATAGAACTGTGGAGGAACCATTGCTAAGTAAAGAAACCATAGTGACAGGCATAGACAATTATAATTCTTACACAAGGAGAAAAACAAATGCCAAACTCCAGCAGCTTGGGTTCCTTGACAACCACAAAAGCTTTCCAAACATGCCTGCCTTGGCAGCTACAGCTAAATCTTGTTTTGTGTTGAAAGAAAAATAAATAAAGGCAGCAATGTGTTTCTGTTTAATGTATAGAGAAGTAACACCTTCCTTTCCATTATTGCCCCTTACCTGGTCAGCGTGGAGGTCTCTAACTTCCCAGAAGCAGAACTTGGTCTCACTTTCTTCCTCAGAGGCATTATGGAAGCTGAATCCTTGTCTTCCTAATGCCAATGGCTGAAATCTTGGATTTGTTTCTTGTTCATAAGGCAACAACTTGTGCTGACTTTTGTTCAGGAGCCTGGAACCTGCTGCTAAGTCTGTCTGCAATGCTCAGGTTACTGCAAACTTTGCACCTCCCTTAAGTCCCCAAACATTAAAAGAGGCAAAGCTTGGGAATAGTCCTAACTCCTTGGTGGAGTTGTCACATGTCACATGTATTTCAGAACATATATTTCTTAAAATTATGACAAGTTTCAAGAAGAACTACAGGAAATATTCAGGTACCATTTTTTTCGCATCTTTCCTCAGATCTCCCACTGCATTCAGTTTGGATCTAATGGTCTCTTGATCCAGATGTGAAACTGTTTGTTGTGATGCATATTACTCTGTTAGCTAAAGATAGCAAAGATTGAACTTTATACATGGTCTGCACAAGTGATCCAGAATGCAACAGTGGACCAATGGATGTGTCACAGTACACTAATGTAATGATGCTAGTTCACAAACTGCAAAGATTACTAGTATGAGTGTAATTAAAAGTGCTGATGGTCATTTATAAAGTCCTTCATAGTCTGGGGACTGGATACTTGTGGGACTATCTTTCCCCAATTGTTTCTATCTGATTAGATCTGACAGGTTTGCATTACTTAAACAATGCCACCAAAAAGTAAGTTGAAAAAAGGGGTGTCCACATGAGGGGTCAAACACATAAAAATGATGGTCATAAGGATACAAAGCCCTTCTCTAAGCGTTGTGACCTATGTAAAAAGCAGCAGGACTTCAGTCAATATTTGTGGCTTCCGTCTTACTTTTTGGACCTCTCCCACTCCAATGAAGGGAAAAAATAATTTTTATGCCAATGAAAAATACTTGTGAAAGAAAAATGCCTTTTCTTTGAGTGCTTTCTTTTTTTAACTAAAAAAAAAAAAAAGCTACAAATCGCATGGTTATTTATACAAAACACATGTACACAAATCAAATGCCTGGTAAGCTCAGAATCTTTTAACTGGAACACAAATATGAAAATAGCTCTAAATGATTCCAGAATGTCCTTTTCTCTTTTGGGTTACACAAGACATAGGAATGTGGCTTTGAAGCTTTTCCCTCTTTTCTCAAGTATTATTTCCTGCATTTCGGATTAAACAAAAACATGTAGAGAAATTCCAAAATGATTCATAGAAGACTTCTAGACAGAATAGTTTAAAAATTTAAAAGAACAGACATAATTATTTTAAGATTCTTGTATATGTTTAAAATCTTTAATAAATCTGTGTAAGAATTGTAGTGAAAAATGTAAACAGTTGAGCTTAAAGGCATTTGCTATAAAAATACTCTGAAAAATGATTTTAATAGACTAACAGAAAAGAATTGGAAGGGACCTTGGAGGTTTTCTAGTTGCTCAAGCAGGAAACCCTATACCATTTCAAATGAATGGCTGTCCAATCTCTTAAAAATCTCCAGTGACCACCCACAATTTCTGAAGGCGAGCCATTCCACTGATTAACTGTTCCGTCAGGAAATTTCTCCTTAATTCTAGATTAGATTTCCCTTTGATATGTTTCCATCTGTTACTTCTTGTCTTGCACTCAGGCGCTTTTGAGAGTAGGTTTCCCCTTTATGTGTGACAACCTCTCAAATATTGGAAGACTGCTATCATGTCAACCCTAGTCCTTCTCGTTGTTAGACTAGAAATACCCAGTTCCAGCAACCGTTCATCCTAAATTTCAGCCTCCAGCCCCTAATTATCTTTGTTGCTCTCCTCTGCACTCTTTCCAGTCTCAAGATCTTTTTTGTATTGTGGTAACTAGAACTGGACGCAGTATGCCACGTGTTGTCTTACCAAGGCAGTATATAGCGGTACTAATACTCCATTGATCTTGATACAGGTATTCCTCGACTATTGAGTCCAAAATTTCTATTGCTAAGCAAGGCAGCTGTTAAGTGAGTTTTGCTCCCTTTTAGAACCTTTCTTAGTATTAGGTAAATCATTGCAGATTGCTAAGTTAGTAACACAGTTGTTAAGTGATTCTGGCTTCCCCATTGATTTTGCTTATCAGAACGTCACAAAAGGTGATTGTGTGAACCCAGGACACTGCAACCATCATAAATACATGCCACTTGGCAAGCATTCGAATTTTGATCACATGACTATGGGGATGCTGCAACAGTCATTAAGAGTGAAAAACAGAAGTCACTTTTTTCAGTGCTGTTGTAACTTCGAACGGTCACTAAACAAATGATTGTAAGGCAAGGACTACATGTTGATGCAGCCTTGGACTGCATTGATTTTTTTGGCAGCTGCAGCATACTGCTGGCTCATGGTCCACTAGGATTCCAAGATCCCTCTCACAGTTACTGCTGTTGAGCCAGGTACCACCTATTCTATACTTGTGCATTTGGCTTTTCTTGCCTAAATGAAAAACCTTACCTTTTTCACCACTGTACTGCATTTTGTTGGATAGGACCCCTGTCAAGATCTTTCTGGCTCTTGAGCCTATCTTCAAAAGTGTTTGCTATTCCTCCTAGCTTGGTGTCATTTCCACATTTGATGAGTTTCCCCACTATCCCCTCATCTAAATTGTTTATGAAGATGTTGAAGAATACTGGGCCTAATAATACATTTCTAATAAATTTCTGTGATTTCTAATGTTGAATGTTTATTAGATATTTCTTCAGCTTAGCATAAATATAAAATATTAAATATTTTGTTACTCATGTTGTGAAAGAGGTACAAATACAAATATAAATCTGTAGAGCTTTATTTACAGAACAAATATATTAAAGTCAAGTCAAATTCAAGAAGATATTTAGATATCTTCTTTGCTGACCAATACATCTAGAGATTTTTGACTAAGAAGCTAAGGGTGTGAATACAGTTAGTGGTGCCTGCAAGAAACTATGCAGACAAATTTCTGTGATACATGATGATGACGTAATCACACAAATGCCACAACCTATGTACCTGTGTCAGATGCCTTGACAATTTACTAGAGACACCACTGGTTGGGTCCACACATAATTCAAATCTAGGATTGTTAAACTTAGTTGTAGAAATCAAATTCCATCTACACAAAACATTAAATCATAAACCACAGTTTTGAAAACCAACCTATCTGGTTTTCACAATCTGATGCCAAAATCAAACAGGCTATATTATGCTAGGATTGAAGTGCACTAATTGGGCAACTGATTCCTAGCAGCATCTTCTAGAGCAGAGGTGTCAAACTGCCGGCCCACGGTCCGGTTTCATCATACCGGAGCCGCGCCCACCCCATTGCTGGCAATGGCAAAAAAGCTCCGATATGTCGCGCGACATCACGTGACGTCGCGAGTTTGACATGTCTGTTCTAGAACTATGCAAAACATTTGAAAGGAGCACATTGCACCAAACCAGCTTTCCTAGATGTATTAAAGCAGTGTTTCTCAACCTTGACAATTTTAAGGCATGTGGACTTCAACTCCCAGAATTCCACAGCCAGCAATGCTGGTTGTGGAATTCTGGGAGTTGAAGTCCACATGCCTTAAAATTGTCAAGGTTGAGAAACACTGTATTAAAGCAACTGGGTAATATCCCTCTTGCACTGCAGCAAAGCAGCTGTATTAGCTTTGTCTTTATATTTAATTCCTTGCACTTCTATTTGATGTCACTAAAGAGCAGAGGTTTTTATCTTTATCCTTCCCTACCCTCATACACGTACTCAGCTGTATCTGAAAAGCAGTGTTTCCATAAACATTCTCCTAATTTGCATATGGTTTGATTAGGCCGTTATGAAGCCCAGCAGGAATATTATATATTCTATCATAATGTCAATAGCACAATCAGCAGGCTTATTTCGAAATAAGTGTGCAAGGGATTGTGAGCCTTAATTTCGCCCTCTAACTGTTCCACGGCCTTGGATGTATTTATGGATTTTAATGTAGCTGAATACTGAATTGACTGAAAGTAATATAAAATAAACATATACAACAGAAATATTTTCTAATCAGCTTGTCTTGGGTTTTTTTTTTTGTTTCTGACCAGATTTATAAAGCAATGAACATAATGAATATGTAAAAATACAGATCTTTATCTAGCAACATGTAAAAATATGGCTTCAAAGCAATAAAGAGGTTCATTGAAGTGTTTGATTGACCAAATGTTAATGCTTAACCAGACAAATATTTACAGAAAATATGTAAATACCTAATGTCAGGTAATCAGCTTTTTTCATACTCTGAGATGGTTCTTTTAAGATGACACGTCCTACTTTTACCTGTGCAAATTTAATGATTTAATTGTGCCTCTATATTTCACCTATCCAAATGCAATTGTTTAATTTTATCTTTGGGGGATTTTCAACTGTTTTGGAATCAATATTTTGGCTGGATATTCTAAGGGGTGCAACCCTAGCATAATTGGAAGGATATCAGGTTGCAAAAAAGAAGCAATTTATCAACTAAAACTCATCCATTTATTAAATCTGTAAGGTTAGAGTCCCAATTAAAGAATCTGATCATTATGTCAATACATTATGTGAGTCAAACAAAGGTATTTGAAAAATTAATATAATCTCAAAGCAGGATGAAAATCAATCCCCAGTGCAACTGGAATGGATTAAGAGATTTGATCTGCAATATATCAAGCATACCACGTCTTAGATAATAATAACTGAAAACTGCTTCAATTCATATTATATTGTCAGTGCTAGGGAACTAGTAATGCCACTGCAGTCTTTTAAGGCTTCTAAAGAAACTCTCAAGTATAAGAAAAATTAAAGTAGTCTGCAAATGGTTTACTATTAAGACAGATCATAAGGATATTGAACTTTGAAACAGCCACCCTTCAATATTGATGAAATTTCTCCTGAAAAGTATCAGATGCATTTGATTGGATTTTCTTCTGACTTCTTTGATGAGGAAGGTCTTTGTAATATTTTGTCTCCACTGACTCTATCAAGAAAATTCTGAAGGATTTTTTTTTCTGGAGAAAAATGGAAAGAAGATTATCACTTACACCTGAAGAACCAGACAAAATAAATGCTATTAATTATTTCTCATTTGGAGTATGGATTGGTTGTCAGAGCTTTGCCTAGATGTCATATTAAAATAACTCTCTGTATTTAATACATTTTTTTTTTAAAAAAATGCAAATTACTGAGGAAGAGTTGACAAGAATTAATGATTAAGAAGGGATTAACACTTTTTTTTCTTGCTGTGGTACTTACGAAAATTATTCCTCTAATCATGGTATTTGTCACAGTGTGACATTTCTATTAAAAGTCAATTATATCAGTAGGACAGTTTAATTTAAATCAAAGAAGGAAAGGGCTCAAATTATAAAATTGTATTCCCACATTTACTACATACGGGTAATAAGGGACGGGAGTCTGTTGTGTGTAATGATGGGTTTAAAGACATTATTAGATTTCCAAACTCTGAGTGATTCCAGGTCACCTCTCGATATTGTTTCATTATGAAGTAATTAAGTTAAAAAAAATATACGTGGTTTCCCGAAGCCTAACAGTCCGTACGTCTGTAGGTATGAAGGTTTGTCCTAGACGGTATAGTCTCTTTCCAGATCCATTACTGTCTGTTCACTTGGCAATCAACATCTCCTCTAAGGTCAGATGATTCCACTGACCTACATGTATCAAGTGATCCAGATGCTAATATTGTTTTTCATTTCCTGAAAAGATCACTAAGATCTTAGAATTAAATTAATATGAATAATTAGATATTGTTGCTCAAGTATACTAGGAGTTAATAATCCTGAAGATGCCTGAAGATAGATAAACCATTCCCAAACAACCCAGATGACATCTGCAAAACCCAAACTCAAACATTATTTTAAAATCAATGCTTTCAAAATCTTAATTCTGATGTCTCACATCACTTTATATGAAAATGGTGAACAGCTTTTAATATAAACAATTACCTTTTAACACTCTTAATATTCATTTGTTGGGCCATGGTGTCTGCCATATTAAAATATGGTTGTCTCCTACCTTGTATGTTTTAGGTTTATTTAGGTCCAGATCCAGGGCTTGAGAGAAACTTTGCAAATGGAACAATTTAAAAACTTACTATGTAAATAAAAAGGACAAACACAAAGTCTTATCATATTTAACATTATCAAGTCCTATACAAAATTCTTTTTTTGTATCATCTACCTGGCTTAGGAGCTCTTTCCACATATTCTTTAATTTCTTCTGGATCTACAGAATTCAGAACTGATAGGATATCAAGATAATCATTTCCAAAATCCTTCTGATAGGTGGACAGATGTTTGCTATGTTCGTGATTCCAGATCTGAGCAATTGTCATTGAAGGCACTGTGCAGGCAAAGCAGTTAACAGTCACGTCAAACTAGAAAGCAACAAAACTGAGTATTGTCTTTCTGTTTCTCCATGTCACAAAATCTTATGCCCCTCCTTCATAAGAAGTGGCATGTTATTGCCCATATACGCTCTCTTCTCTTACAATTATAGGCCTTGAATCTGTGGGAATCTAAAACTGTATTTGTCCACTGTAAAACTGAGCAGAGTGCTACTTTAGTTCCCTTAAGAATACTCTTAGAGTAATGCAAGGAGAAGATGCCTGGGAGAATGAGGAGCAATGTGATGGACTGGTGATCTTCTGCCAGGAGAGTAGGAATACTTGCAACATGAGGGTGACTAGCATTCTTTAGCTCAGAGCTGGAGCACATATGCTTATCCCCCACCCCCCGCACAGCACTTATTCTGTGTCTCCTGAAGTTTGGTGACAAATCTGATTAAATAATTTCTCTCTTTTTTTCCCTTTTATTACAATAAGGGACAAAATGGCTCATGCAGAGTCCATCAAATTTAACATAGAACTATTTCACACCTTAGGTTATACATATTGAACATTAGCCTAAAAATCTGACCCCTGCCCATTCTGTCCACCACATCTGTGATCATTGGGAGCTGGAAAGAAAACTCTAACAATGGAAGAAAAAACCTGCATAGTTCATTTATGACACCATATAGTTCAGCTGTAGAAAAACACTGCTTACCAGCACCTTTGACCGGAATTTTACGTTTTGCATTACATCCGTATTTCCAAGTGAAGTCCATTAATTCAGGTGCACAGATTTGTGGCTGATAATGGCGCCTGACTTCAGTATCTGGCGGCTTTGGCAGTAATGTTTTCCAATCTGGAGGGAGAGCAACATCATCCCTTGGAGCACCTGAAAAGATTTAATAATAGTATTATTGTGAAAGGGATGGGGAAGTATTATTGTGAAAGGGATGGGGAAGGGGTATTAAGTGAAAAGCAAAGAGCAGAAATTTATTTTCTGCAGTCTTAGAAACACTCAAAAGCAAATCCTATTGATCTCACCAAGGCTCAAGTTGAATGATGGTACCCTACCAAATACCCCACATGTATTTCATCCCAAATTCACATTATAAATGGTTAATGCATGACTTTGTCCAAGAACTCTAGTTTTCAAGTACTCCAAGGTTACACCCTGGCTGGAGTTCAGTGTGCGATTACTTTTTACAATCTCCTACTAATATTTTAATCAGAAAGTTTTCTGGGGATATTTTCAGCTATTAGTCAAAGCTTTTCATGTGTACTTCATTACATGTTTCAAGAGAAGGAAGGAAGCACAATGTTCACCTGGCTGTATTCCTAAATAATCTCTTGTGTATACTGTTTTGTACTGCTTCTTTAGTACCTCCTCCAAATCTTGTTTACTAAAAGGTTTTGTCCATGGTGAAAAGCTATCTGTAGGTAATGCTGCTTCTTCTCGAGGCAGTTGCCATATCAGGAAACGCTGAAAAATGGAAAGAAGAAAATGATAAAGAACAAAAACTTTGATTTTTTTTAAAGAATCCATCCAAATGTGCTTTTAATTATGTCTTTTTACAGCATTTTAATTTTTTGTTATCTTTCTAAAACAGCGGTTCTCAACCTATGGGTCGCGACCCCATTTGGGGTCGATCGACCATTTCACGGGGGTCGCCAAGCAAGGCTGTCCGCCATTTTTTTCCCCTTTTCCGGCGGGTGCCTTACCTCCCTTGAGCTGGGCCAGCTGGTGGTCGGTCTGCTCCGTCTCTGCCGCTTGCCAGCTACGCCTCAGCCGGCGCAGGGGAAGCCCTCGACTTACGACCGGTTTAGTCCTTGACTTATGACCAGTTTAGTCCTCGACTTATGACCGGTTGGGGGTCGCGGCATTAAAAAGGTTGAGAACCACTGTTCTAAAAGATGCCTGTGATCATAAATATTATTTATATCTTCCATAACTCTGAACTGCTTTTTCCTTTTATCAGTAAAAGGAAAAAAAGCTGACAAAGAACACGGTGGCTGGACACCATCAAAGCTGAAACCAGCAGGAGCATAGAACAACTTAAAGAAGCAGTGTGTGATTGGAAGCCATGGAGAGACCTGGCCAAGAGTCGGACGTGACTAAATGGATAACATCATCATCACCAACTGAGCACATATGTATTAGGACAGCAATTTTGGGCCACTGCCTTTTTTTTTAGGCAGAGAATCTTGTTTCTAAAAAGCTTTCCTAGCTTCTTTCCTGCCCTACTTAAACTCTACAACTGCCCCTGTCTCCTTTGGAGAAATTTTCATACACCATGTATACCGGTATACTATGAAATCATAAATACAATTTTGTACTCCAGTAAAATAACTGGTGAACAATTGCCTGGGTACATAGTTAGCATTATAGATAATCCTTGAGTTTACAACAGCAATTGGGACTGGAATTGCTAAGTGATGTCACTGTAACCTGTGATGTAATGTGACTACATCACTCAGCAATGCCAATCCAGGCTGTCCAGTTGATGTCATATCCCTAGAAATGTGGGTCATTAAGTAGAAAGTGGAGAAATTGCCCAGGAAGGACTGTGGGGGTGCGGTGGGGAGGCGAGGCCTAGCACAGGCCACACAAGAGTCAGGGAAAGAGTGCTTGGTGTGACATGAGATCATAAACGCCAGGGAATGAGGGCTCAGATGCATGCAATTGCAGGGAGGATGTGGAAAAAGGATATGAGTTATGTGTGTGCGTGTGTGTGTACAATTTAAGGGAGGCCAAGGAAAGAGGGCACAGTGTGCATGCAATCTCAGAGAGGCCATGGAAAGAGCATGCAGAGTGTGTGCAATCACAGGGAGGCTATGGGAAAAGGGTACAAGGTGCAAGCATGTTTGTAATCATAGAAAGGACAGAGGAAGAGGGTGTGAGGTGCGTGTGATCACAGAGAGACCAGGAGATAGTATCATGCGTAAGATCATAAGAAGTCCATGGAAAGGATGCGGGGTCCATGCATGCATAAGGGAGACCAAGGAAAGAGGATGCAGGATGTATACATGCATAGAATTGCAGTGAGGCCATGGAAAGAGGATATGCATGCATATGTGTATGCAAGTACAGGGAGGCTATGGAAAGAGGGCATGGGTGTGTGCAAGTGAATGGGGACACAGTGGGTGCAAGTGAAGAAAGGCTGGCAAGGGAGGTTTAACCCAGTGACCTTCCCTGTCAGCTTTCCCACTGATTTTCTAGGGCAGTGATGGCGAACCTTTTAGAGACCGAGTGCCCAAACTGCAATCTAAAACCCACTTATGCATCGTCGGGTGCCGAGTGGATGTGGCCCATTGGCTGGGTGTGGCCCATTGGGTGGGCGTGGCTGCAGTGGTAACGGCAGACTGGGTGGGACTAAAAAGTTCAATCAATCAATTCCAACTTTGCAAGATCTTTTGTTTTCCTGCGAGAAGTTGAAATTGACTGATTGATTGAACCTTTTTTTTTTTTTGCACATGGCAGCGGAGGCCTAAAGCGAAAAGGTTTTATAAAACCCAGCTGAAGGCCTAGGACTGGGGTGACGGTGCGCGTGCCCACAGAGAGGGTTCTGAGTGCCGCCTCTGGCACTTGTGCCATAGGTTCGCCACCACTGTTCTAGGGAAACCGGCAAGAAAGGTTGTAAATAGGGATCACATGATCTCAGAGTACTTGGCAACTAGTTGTAAGTGCAAACAAGTTGCCAAGCACCCAAATTGCCATCACATGACTGTGGGGTTGTTGCAATAGCCATAACTTCAAGGACTGGTCATAAGTCCCTTTGTTCAGCACCATCAAAATTTCAGTGATTGCTGAACGAACGGTTGTTAACAGACTTGCTATAAATGATGCTAAGCACATATCTGGCTCTATGCATATAATTTTTTGTTAAAAAGCAGTAACGTTGCAATGGAGAAAGGTTTTAATTTTTTGCCCTGAGTGTAATTCTAATCAGAACTGAAGGCTTCCTACTTGGTGGAAATATCATTAGACTCCATAAAACTCAGTGATAAATAAATACATATAAAATTGGACACTAAATTAAGGCAATGCAAAGCAACAGAAATAAATTCTATGCAAAGTGTAATAGCAAGAGTGGAGCCTGCTATTAAAATAGCTGCATCCTTTGCAAGGCTCACATGGCTAGATGCAGATAGTACACACATATGTCGGTGAAATGAGATGACCGTGAAAAGTCAAGTCACCTTCACAACAGACATCCACGTTTAAATTCACGTCTTTTGTTCCTTCAGAAACTTCGTGTATTCGGACCGGACATTCGTCTAGGTCAACAAAATTGTGCAGTTTCTGTAAAGTTTACGAAAAGTGTTGAGATAATTCATAAAGAGTATTGATAGCCTTTCCTTTCCCATGATATCATATTTGAACAATGATTTCAAAACCAAGTTATCGTATATCCAAAATCATCAAAAATTTAAATATGAAGCATAAGTAAGATGTTCTTGAAATAACAATAACTTGAACCAACAATAACTTGAATCCTACTTCTCCAGGCTGAGGATTGTTCCTGTCCTTCACTGTCACAAACCCGTTCGTTATAGGCTCTGCCTTGGAATATGGCTTCCAGCAGAATTCATCTCTGTAGATACTTTTTGCAGTTGGTTCATCTACTTGAAAGGGAATGACGTGTCCTGTCCCTGCTCTAGCACTGCAAGAAACAAGACAATGTCAATGACAATGCAATCACACCTGTTATCTCTTAACTACCTGAACCTACAGCTATCTCTAATTCTACTCAACATCTTTTTTCAATAAAGTATATCTAAACATCATATGAGTTCTTATTAAATAAATAGGCCCATAAGAAACTGACGATACCATAAACTTATCTAGTTTGTTATTGTCTTCATTAACATTCCCCAACCTAACTCTCCTGGTGTGTTGGGATTTCCCACTCAGTATGGCCATGGGCAACTGGGCTAAAGGATGAAATATTTGCAAACCAGATGACCATGATCCAGGAAATATAACACCATGACAACTACCCTCAACTGAGAATCAATGGGAATTATTGAATACAGACTATGAAAGGATGACAATAACTGGGACTTTTTAACTTGGGATAAAGGCAAGTTAGGAAACTGTAGTCTATAAAATTATATGCTGTAAAAAAGAGGAGTTGTTAGAACATGGACAGAGCCATGAAACGAAATACAATAATATTCAAGAATGATAAAAGAAACTATTTTTGCAATACAAAGGGTAGAATTGGTGGAACAGAGTGCTAGACTAAATGAATCTCTGTCCTACCTAGAGGTCTCTTGATAGATAGATATATATCTGCAGCTATGATTTTAATTTTTTCTAGCCAGCCTTGAAATTTAAAAAAAATGTAATTTTGTTGGCACAGTTTTAATAGGAAAAACTTATTACAACAATGGATTTTGTCTTGGGAATTTCTTAAAGGCAGAGAATGGCTAGCACAGTAGATTTATTCTATGGTTTCTACTTGGTAGTAGATAATTTATTGAAACAGTGTCCTCTGAGGTGTGACTAGCCATTAGGATACAAGGATATCTTATCAATGAGGCCAAAACGTTGGCAATAAAATAGCCAACGTCTGTCTTTCTGGCTTTATATCAACAACACCTGATATATATTATAGCAACAAAATCTTCAAATGGGCAGAGAATTAGTTGAAGGCTAAAAGCATATTTTCATGAGATATATATCTTCTAGAAAACAAATTTAGGACTGGTTATCCTACTTGATTTATTTATAGTCTATTTCTATGTATAAATATCTCACTTTTCCAAAGGAAATAAATCTAGGTAGCCATACTTTGAACTTTTGATCTCTTGGGAAATTGGTAAACCTATGAATATACTGGAACGTTTGTATGACATATTACAATTTTTCTTATACCTATATATATCTGCAATAAATTATATGAAAATACTATAGATATTTAATACCAATTCACAATAATAAAAAACTATTTGGGCTGAATGTTAAAAATCTAGCTGATGCTATTTTCAATGGCATATTACATGAAAATAAGATGATCCAGACTCTGGAAATGTCTATCATGGAAAAATTCATAAACTGAGGATGTTTCTGTCTCAAGAGGAAATTTAGAATCAATATTCATGGCTAAATTGTCAATCCGAAACAAAATATGTTCCACTAAGAAGTAAGGACTTCATTTCCAGGCACATCTGGGTCATAAGGATCTACAAGAGCATTATGAGTTTTTGATATTACCTCCATAGTGTAATTTACATGCTTAAACTAGCTAATTCTATTCCAGAAAAATAATTCTGATTGAAAATTGAAAATTTGAAAAAAACACCCTGAATTTACAGGGGGGGAAATTACATTTTATGTGGATTTTTGGTTGAAGTAAACTGTATCTATCTATCTATCTATCTATCTATCTATCTATCTATCTATCTATCTATCTATCTATCTATCTATCTATCTATCTATCTATCATCTATCTATCTATCTATCTATCTATCATCTATCTATCTATCTATCTATCTATCTATCTATCTATCTATCTATCTATCTATCTATCATGACAAACAGCAGATGTGAGAGGATAATCTTTGGTAAGAAATGAACATGGCAATCTTGCTTAGAACCGGTTCTAAACTAGAAACTTATGTGGCATATTTTTCTTCAGAAGAGATGTGGCTTAAACCCACTTTAAAAAAACATGAGGGATGTATCGTTTGGATTCTGAAAATATTAATTTAACTTATTTTAAAACCTTAAGATGGGTGGAAATTGCAATTACATACTAGTTTGGTGGGAAAATATAGATAAAATAAAACAGAATTGTTTTGTTCTCAATCTAAATAGTCTCCACCACACATAAAACATAACCAATCTTAAAACTAGTCTCATATGCCACCAGAAAAACAAAACATAAACTTTTAAGAAAGTTTAATAAAAGAAAATGAGAATATTTCAAAAGAAGTCAATAAACCAAACATAATTAAAAAGTTTATATCAGTTAAATTAGTATATTCTTACCAATCTGCTTCAGGGTCTGTTGTAGATTTAAAGACAAAATCATGTTTCATTGTCGATTCATAAGGATCCCACTTTAGTCTACCTACTAAAAACAGTATCTGTTAAGTGGTAGACATTTTACATAGTCCCTAAAGTTTCTTGTCTTACTAACCAAGAATGAAAAAATTACGGTCAGGAAACAAAAGTCTTGGCATCGATGGGAATTACTTATCAAAGTAAATGGCAAATTGGGTGGGGAATATGGATCAGGTCTCTGATAGACAAAGATACAGTATCTGTCTCCACATTATAATTTTCATCCAGTTCATTTTTCTCCCACCCAAAGATACTATTTACTTTCATCATACTATTAATAACAATTGAACAGCTTCTTATAACAGTAATAACTTACCTATCACCTCTAAAGAAAAAAGAAAACACTTACAGTTTAGCAAATTGAAAAAAATCGCTTTTCTGCATTTCTTTTTGTTCCTCATAGCCAACTGGCAATTATAGAACCTTTACCACACAACATTCAGGCTTCTCGCCTGACTTGTTTTAAAGTAACGGTATCACAGAGGCTTTCTTCTCTTCATCAAAGTGACAGAAACTCGTTCATTTATTCATTCATTCATATTTCTTTCTAGCATTTTTTCACAAATGCAGGGTCCACTTTTGGGGGATCAATTGAATGTTGACCCATTGTTGCATCAGAAATTGACTGACAGGCTTGTTGCCGGACCTTGACGTTATGGGCTGAGAGATAATGACCCAAAGTCACCCAGCCGATTTTCATGCCTAACTGTATCTCCTAACTGTACCCATCACAGTTCCAGAAATGGAGGGGAGGGGGATAGGAAAAAGCTATGAAAATGGCTCAAAGGATGCCACAATAAACGTGTCCCTCTTTAAAGTGCCATACATATGCAGGCCTCATAGCTGACTATGTCAACTCCACTGCAAGAAAATATATTTTGGTTCAAATATTGCACTACGCCATGGCTTGAGGAGCCATGCTTGGTTAGAAATGTAATTGTATTCTAAGCCAGCAACAAGATTTGGACACTCCCAATGCCTGGGTGAAGTCCCCCAATGATTTAAGTTCAACGCAACAAACCACATTGTAACTTTATGCAAAGGTGCACAATCTGAATTCACAGAGCTTACACCGGAATCCTCAAAGCCTTGAAAATGGTGCCCAAAGACCCTTAAAAATTCTTATAAAATTGTAAATGCTCATGTGATACAAGGGGGAAATTATTAAATACATGGAAGAGGAGCAATCATATTACTGTAATAATTCTTAATTTTAAATAAAATTAAATGAATTTTTTTTGTGGCCTCATCCACAACACAGCATGCTTCTGAATGACAAATGTGTGGAAAAAGTTAAACACTTAGTCCAATGTATGAGTACAGTCAGTGCAACAGAACAAAATGTTTTTCCTGTCTTAGTAAGCCTGTATTATATAAGAGAAAAACAAACCTGGTTTCTGCATCTAGCTTACTCAGTAACAAGAATGCACCAATGATCAACTGCTGAAGGAGCTGTCCAGACTTAAAGTCATAGGAGGAATTGAGGAAGACCTACATAGTTGCTCCTTCAAAATGTAATGCAATGAATACAACCAATGTACTGTACTCAACTGTAGTCCATACTGTACAACCACTGACTGAACTCAAAAAGCCCATTTCCTGTGCTTTTTATTTTTTTAAAGGATCTTCTGCTAAAAGACTTCTGAGTTTCTTCTTCAATCATGCAAAGCAATATGAAGCTTTTTGTTGCTGTTTTGAACAGCACCTAAAATATCTGTTTTAAATCACTGAAGAATCTATTCCATCTTTCCTTTCAAAAGAGCATATAGAGGCATTCCCTATCAGGCTTCTCTGAGAAACAATAGCCCCAAAGACTCCTGGTGAGCTTCACTGGAGAGTTGGGCAACTAATTCTTGCCTGTTACAGTACAGATGGCATTGAAAAAAGTGACTTATGACTGTTTTTCACATTTACGGCTATTGTAGTATCCCCAGACGTGCAATCAAAATTTGGATGCTTGACGACTGGCTCATATTTATGAGAGTTGCAGTATCCCAGGGTCACGAGATCACCTTTTGCTACCTTCTGACAAGCAAAGTCAATGGGAAAGCCAAATTCACTTTACAATTGTGTCACTAATTTAACAACCGCAGTGATTTAACAACGGTGGCAAGAAAGGTTGTAAAAGGGGACAAAATTCATTTAATAACTGTCTCGCTTAGCAACAGAAATTTTGGGCTACTGAATGATCACACTGAGAGGTGTCGAACATTGTTCTAGGCTTTGGTTTAACCCTGATTTATTGAATGAAATCCCAATTAGCCTGATGGAAGCAGCATACTAATACAAAGTACCCCAGTCTTATTATGTTGTGAAACAAGCAACTGAGTGGCATCGTTTTGCTTTCACTTTTGCTTTCAATTTGGCAATTCTAAGATGAGTGGACCAACTTCCAGAATCTGGGGAATCCTGGGAGTTGGTCCACCCATCTTAAAATTGCCAAGTTGGAGAAACGCTGCCCTGAGAGATACATAGGGCTCTTTCTGCCGCAAAGAATCTAAACATTGGCAGATTGTGGATCTAGTATGGTTGTTGTTTTAAAATCCAAGTACTCTAACTATGTTACAAAAGACTATATGCAGGCAGAAATTAAGCAAAGTCTGTGGGGGGGTTTGTGCCTTGGCCTCATTTCAGTCCATTCCATTCTTAGAATTGCCAAACTGACATGATAGCAGTGTTCCAATATCTCAGGGGCGGCCACAGAGAAGAGGGAGTCAAGCTGTTCTCCAAAGCACCTGAAGGCAGGACAAGAAACAATGGATGGAAACTAACCAAGGAGAGAAGCAACCTAGAACTAAGGAGAAATTTCCTGACAGTTAGAACAATTAACCTGTGGAACAACCTGTCTCCAGAAGTTGTGAATGCTCCAACACCGGAAATTCTTAAGAAGAGATTGGACAGCCATTTGTGTGAAATGGTATAGGGTTTCCTGTCTGAGCAGGGGGTTGGACTAGAAGACCTCCAAGGTGTCTTCAAACTCTATTATTATTGTTGTTTTTGTTATTATTATTGATTATCACACAATCAACCAGATGTTCAGGCTGGATTTGGCCTTTTTGTCTACCTATCAAGTCCTTACCAAGGACCTGGGATAGGCAGATGTGGATGTTTGATTTGATGGTATGACAGATATCCTCGCAGGATGGAAGCAGTTCCTAGTAAGGCCACTTTTTGCAATTGACTAATGGCGAATTTGTCAGTGCCAATGGTGTTCAAGTGGTGCTCCAGTTGTTTTGGGATTGCGCCCAAGGCACCTATTACTATTGGTACTACCCTGGCTTGCCTTTGCCACAGTCGTTCTAGTTCTATTTTTAGGCCTTTGTATTTTGTTATCTTCTCCAGTTCTTTCTTGCCTATTCTGCTGTCTCCAGGCACTGAATTATTATTGTTACTGTTATTATTACCCTCGTCTCCAGCATTCGTGGTATTCTCAAGAGTTTAAAGGCGCATCTTCCAGCTCCCCAAGGCGCAGACCCACTCCAGGTGGCGGCGCTCGGATCTCCGCAGGCCCCGCTTCTTCCCTCCCTCCAAGGCGGCCCGAGAAGGATTCTCACCAGCAGGCGGCGGTGGCGGCGCTGTTCGCGCAGACCTGGGTCTCCATGGTGGTGCGCCGGGGAGGAACGCGGGAGGCGCTGGAGCGGCCCCATTAATCGGGGGAAGGAGAGCGCTCTTGTCGCGTTCCGGGAACTGCATGCGGGTGGGCTAGTCCAACTCAGCCTCCGCCTGGCTCTCCGGCTGCAAGGCGATAGCTCTGGAGCAGGGAAGAATTGGGAAAGGAGACGGGGGAGGGAAGCCCGTCCTGTCACTGAGCCGCTGGCAAGCGGGAGACGCAATAAACGCTGCTGCCTGCCTGCCTGCCTGCCTCCCTGCGCCCAGACCTGCCGGTTGCCCAGACACCACTTTTACGATTGTGACCCAGGGAGCGAGCAGGCTGCACCTTTTTCCCGCCGGCTTGGGCAGAGCTCTGGGGAATGACCGCGCTGGGGATGATTGCGGCAAAGCAAGACTCGTCAGCGAGCATTTTAGGCCAGCGTGTTATTGAAACCAAAGTGACTTGGTTCCTGGATTCAAACCAAGAACCATTGGGGGGTGGAGGAACCTTCTTCCCCAGTCACGTGCGCTCCCCGCTTGACGTTTGGTCGACTCCAGACGATGGGGAGAAATAAAAACAAAGGAATGGGATGGATGCCGAAAGAAATGCAATAGACACTAACGCAGTGTTTCTCAACCTTGACAATTTTAAGGCATGTGGACTTCAACTCCCAGAATTCCACAGCCAGCAATGCTGGCTGTGGAATTCTGGGAGTTGAAGTCCACATGCCTTAAAATTGTCAAGGTTGAGAAACACTGCTTAACGCATGGTTCCTTCAAGGATTGGCAACTTATTAGTCACACAAGGTTCTCCTTTAAAATGGGGGGGGGGGGCAGAGGGCAGTAAAGGGGACACCCCTCAAACTTGGTTTTGAGGGATGGGGTTCTTTTTTTTCTTATCTGTGATGAATGGCTGCTATTTATAAGTGGCAGTATCCAGTCCTCAATGAGTTTTCTGCATTTCTCTTCTACTAGAGAGTCTAGATTTTTGCAGCTCAGATGTGTGCTGGCTTTCCAATTTCAGTATTATGCTCTCATTTTCACTGTACAGTGAAAGGGGCATAAAACTCTGATTCCAGGTTTTCAGCCACTTGTACTCAGAAAGAGTAGAGTATATAGTCAGAGGCCTGACCCCAAGGACCACAATAAGGGGTAGTAGGTGGTAGTTACAATTGTCCTTTTCTTATGATCAGATAAACTCTCTTTGGAGCTTATCTTTATGTAGACTCCACAACAAAAGTAGCCAAACATAATCTGGCCTAGTCTGAGCAATCTGATAAAAGTACAAAGACTGTTGTGGCATCTTAAAATAGAATGGAGTATTTGTCTGGGAAAAAGGGGTTATTTAACTGGAAAGGGACAAGGAGAGCACTTTAAATGGGGAATATTTTTAAATTTGCAATGCCT